ATTTACATCAGTCTTTATACGTTGTCAAAGTAGAGTTGCTAAATATAACGATAATTAAACAAATAAAACACAAAACAGTAATCATGAGGAGAAACTACAGCAAGAAAACACAACAGCAAAAAAAGTAAAATCAGTAATACGAACATATTAAAAAATGTATAATTTAAATGAAGACTGCATGTTGTTCAGAGTTGGAAAGTGCTGTTTGATGTGGAGGGTTTCTTTGACCAATAATTCCAGGTCAGTATTAGACTTGCAGAGGATAGAGAAATTTGATGGTATTGGTTGATGTCCTGTTTCATCACTGTGTTGGCGTATAGAGGAAACACAGGGGTTATTCAATTTTTTTGCGTTTTAATGGAAATTCCCATATGTTCATAGGCTCTGACTTTTAAATGGCGTTTGGTTTTGCCAATATAGGAGGCCTTACAGTCTCCACGCGTGTAACGATAGACAAGCCAAGAACAATAAGGAATAGGAGGAGATCTTTAGTAGGGAAGAAATTTTTATGCGTGATGTGGATTTAAAAATTAATCTTAAATCCACTTGAGGGTAGTAACGACCAAGTATGCGTTTAAGTTGATTTTTTAAATTTAAGCTTTGTTTGTCAGTATAGGGAAGACACGAGTATATAGTAAGTTTGGGTACAGTTGGTATCTTAATTGGATTTGTGAGTTTCTTTGTTAGGAAGGTGTTGGTAATGTTTTCTAATAAGTGTCGTGGGTAGCAGTTACGTTTCAGGATGTCATGTAAGAACGAAATTTCAGAGTGTAGATTAAGATATGTGGAGCACAGGTTGTAAGCTCTGTTTATTAAGCATGTAACAAGGTTTCGTTTATACATAAACGGGATAAAGCTATCAAAGTGTGTAAGGAGACGTCTTTTTTCGGTAAATTGATGTGGAAAATCCATTAGCATTACGGTTAATGAGCATGTCTAAAAAAAAGGTAAATTATTATTATTTTCAACGTCACATGTAAATTTAATGACAGGATGTTATGAGTTAAGGTATTCTAAAAACGTTGAGCATTGATCACTATTATTAAAAAGAATAAAAGCGTCATCCACATACCTTCTGTACAGAACAGGCCTAAAGTTAACTGGGCAAGTGTCAAGCCATATCTGTTAGAGCGACATAACCACCGATTCATGTTAGGCCTTTTATTATTAAAAATAGCTGGTATTTCTCTTTCACTATCCAAGGTTTTATGTACACTTTTACCGTATTCTGTACATACGCCACTTATTACCTGACAAGTATCCACGTTAATATGATCTTTCTCTCAGTTCTAACATTTTAAAATATGTTGAATACTTTTATCTCCTGAGCTGCTGGACCTCTTAAACACCGAGATTCAAATTTTATTTCAAATACTTCGCAGGTTTGTGTATTCTACTCATGAAGCCTAAAAGTACATAGAAATAAATCTTTATTTTCGATTTTCTGTAGGAGGCCTTAGTATACTGGCAGTTTCTACAAAAAAATCATAACAATAAAATATTTAATAAATAATTCAGTACTAAGTTCAGCCTAAACCAAAGTATTTCTCGTTGTTTCAGGATATCCAGGAGCTCCTGCCACAGGAGATATCTCCAAAACTTCGGCGTGTTAACAACTGCATCACAAAGAAGTTCAAAGGTCACAAGGTAAGCCTAGGGTTACCTGATACGAAGAACCCACGCGCACACCAAACTGGTGGCATAAGATAAATTGATTATCAACGTATCACACAACGGTGCCCTTAGGAACAACCACAACGTAAAACGACATTAGTTGAAAAACTAGGACTAAAAATCAAAGATTGATTAAGTTTTATGATAATAAATGAAGTTTCAGTTCCTCCTTTGAAGGTTTTTTTCACGCAAGCTTATTGTTTAACAGATGACATATATATATATATATATTTTAATACTGACAAATTTCATAAAAGGTGAGTCTGATAAAAGTTACAATGGACAACATTGTTAATCAAAATAGCTGACCGTAGATCTGTAAATCTTGACCAATCATAATTATGATAATTGGTTGAACCTACAGTAAATAGTCAAAACCACGGCAATTGTGGTAACCAATTGAAACTATGGCAATTACTTGAAACTATGGTAACTATTTAAAATTATGGTAATTAGTGGAAACTATGGTAACTATTTGAAACTATGGCAAATATTTGAAATTATGGTAACTATTTAAAATAGTCGGAAATATGGTAATTAGTTGGAACTATGGTAACTAGTTATAATTATATCAAATATTTGAAACTATGGTAACTAGTTGAAATTATGGTAACTAGTTGAAACTATGGTAACTAGTTGAAACTATGGTTACTAGTTGAAACTATGGTAACTAGTTGAAACTATGGTTACTAGTTGAAACTATGGTTACTAGTTGAAACTATGGTAACTAGTTGAAATTATGGTAACTAGTTGAAACTATGGTAACTAATTGAAACTATGGTTACTAGTTGAAACTATGGTTACTATTTGAAACTATGGTAACTAGTTGAAATTATGGTTACTAGTTGAAACTATGGTAACTAGTTGAAACTATGGTAACTAGTTGAAACTATGGTAACTAGTTGAAACTATGGTAACGCGTCAAAACTATGGTAATTAGTTGAAGCAAATGGAACTAGGTGAAAATATGGTAACGAGTGGAAGCTACGGTAGCTAGTCAAAACTTCAGCAACTAGTAGTTATTATGGTAAAAATTCGAAACCTGTAATAAAAATATATCTCTTTTTAAAGCTCTAGCAATTATTTGACTAATCCATATTGAAATGAGGTAGAAAAAACCAATCAATAAAAACACTTATTATCTTTGGTTAGAATAAGTAGCGCAGACTGGAGAATCTAATTTATATATAGAAGTTTGGGTTTTGTGCTTTTATAAACCGTTACAGCTAAGCCATGTCAGCAGCGGGGTGAAAAACTGAAACTTCTGAAAGTTAAGTTTCTTGGAAATAAGCGCCGGTTTATTGACAGAAACGAAATAATATAATTAAAAGAAGAAGTCTGTAAAAATAACGAGGGAACTTTCTGGCAAGTGACACTATTATCTACAAGTTATTAACTGTAATCTTATAAGTGACACTATTATCTACAAGTTATTAATTGTAATCTTATAAGTGACACTATTATCTACAAGTTATTAATTGTAATCTTATAAGTGACACTATTATCTACAAGTTATTAATTGTAATCTTATAAGTGACACTATTATCT